ACCTGTTTGTCCTTTGGTAAGAATAATTTTGACTTCACATATCCGCCATATTTTTTATGATTTTTACGAATGCTGCTGAAAAAGGTTACCCTTATGAAGCGAAATAGGAGCGAGGAGAAAAACCTACGTGGCATCTCATATAAAATTCTCCCTAATATTTTACAAACTATTTTAAGGGAAATTTCATTCCTAAGGGGAGGGGGAGGACAAGGACGAAGAGGAAAAGAAGGGGAGGAGAGAAAGAGGGGCAGGAGGACGGGGAGTAAGGGATGAGAAAGGAAGATGAAGGGGAGGAAGAGGAGGACAAGGGGGGTAAGGAGGGGATAACGATGAAGGGTGAGGGGACGAGGTATAGAGGAGGAGACGAGGGGGCCAAGAACGAAGAGGAAGGGGAATTGAAGGAGAGAGAAGAGCAGGAGGACGTGGATGAGGAGATGATGAAGGAGGATGAAGGGGACGAAGAGGATGAAGGGGAATTGGAGGAGAAGGAGCAAGAAGAGGAGGAGGTAGAAGAGGAGGAGACGAGGAGGACAAGAACGAAGAGAAAGAGAAGAAGAGGAGAGAGAAGAGCAGGAGGACGTGGATGAGGAGATGATGAAGGAGGAGGAAAGGGAGGAAGAGGAGGAAGGGGAATTGGAGGAGAAGGAGCAAGAAGAGGAGGAGGGAGAAGAGGAGGATTAGGAGGAGGGTTATAAAGATGAATAGGGGAGGAAAAAGGGGGAGAGGAAGGAGTGATGGTGAGAGTAGTAAAAGGATGAAGCGGAGTACACTGTAAAAGAAATAATTGTCGAAATAACTCAATAAAATTGAGGAAAAGAATTGCCTTATTGTTATTAAGTAAATATTACCTACGGCATCTTAAGTAGAATTTACTTATTTTGCTGAATAAATTTTTACTCAGTTAAATCGAGTTACATTAACGTAAATAATTTAAGTATTGTAATCATTTTAGATAATTAAAAAAAAGATATGATAGGATTACTTATTGCACGATTTGGTACCCATCTAATCTAACAAGTAACATCCAATAATCATTCACTACTTCTATTTAAGATTAATCACTTATCACTAACACTACTTCTATTTAAGATTTAACCGTATATATATATATATATATATATCTACCACCATCACAAACTATTACATACGCTTCAATTCGACACATATTGAAAGGCTCCAAATTTTATATATACTTGATCGTAGCATCTTAAAAGGAAAATTGGTTGACAATTTCCTGAAATATCAAGTTTTGATTTGTTTTGAACTGGGTAACAATTAAAAATTGTCTTGTCTTTGCTTAGCCATGTTAAATGAATTAGTAAATGTTTTAAAGTCCTTAAATTTTCATTCAACCACAAAAAAGAATTGTTTTATTTAAAAAAGAGTTTAATTTGGTCTTAATGAATATTCATAAATTATGTAAATATTTCTATTACGCACTGCATCGGTCCTTACTTCAAAAAGATAAGAATAATCAACATAAATTGTTTGAGTAATACGTATAATTTCTGATTTTGAGTTAAAATTACTAAATTAATACAAGCTGAAATTACTTAAAGTTCTTATGTATTTGATTTTACTTAAATATTCCACGTATGTTCTACTGAATTGAAAGTTTGAGTTAGCAAGACTTAAATTTAGTGCGTAAGTGGCAAAACTAATGTTTTCAAGTAAATTCTACATGGAAAAAATACGTAAAAATTACCAATGAACAAATTCTTTTTTACAGTGTAGGGGGATAGGTAAGGAGGAGGAAGAGGAGGAAGAGACGGAGGAGGAGAAAGGAGAGAAGGAGAGTAAAGGAGGGAGAAGCGAAGGAGGTCGAGGTGGAGAAGAAGGGGCAATAGGAGAAGAGAGATGGAGGAGGACGAGGAGGAGGATGAGGACAAGGAGGAGGGTGAGGAGGATGAGGGATAATGATGAAGGGTGAGGGGAGGAGGTCGAAGAGGAGGACGATGGGGAGGATGAGAGGAGAAGGGTGATAACGGGGGAAGGGGAGGAGATAACAAAAAAGGAGGAATAGGGGAGGATGAGCAGGAGGGGAGGCGAGGAAGGAAGATGGGGAGCAGGGGAAGGGGATGGGAGCAGGGGAAGGAAGAGGAGTAGGAGGAAGAACTCACTAATGACTTTCTGTTTGTTTTATTCGACACAGCCTTGCCTGCTTTATCGAATTTGTCCTATATGTGTGAGATGGTGCGACTGCCCGATGGCACCATGTTGCAGACCGTCCCAAAATTGTTCACTCCCCCTTCAGTCATCGCTGAAAAATTTCCTGGCGAACATCTAATAATATGCAGAATCCCGGGTGAGTATCATGCTTTTTTTTTTATTGATTTTTGTTCTCAAATGTCAAATTCATTTTCTATTCACTAATCAATCAATACTACTACTACCAGGTATGACTACTACTACTACTACTACTACTATATTACTAATACTACTACAGCAACAACAACAACTACTACTACTACAACAACTATTACTACTACTTATACTAATACTACTACAACTTATGCTAATACTACTACTACTACTATACTGTCGTTGTTAGGGTAATGAAAAACTTAAGAGTAGATAGCAAGTTGATAGAACTATTCTTTAAATCCCTAATTCAAAGTGTCCTAACCTTCAACCTAACTTGCTATTATGCAAACGCCACAATTGCTGCCAAGAAACTGCTCGAACGTCCCAGAAAGGCAGCAAAACGTATCACAGGAGCCGACCTACCATCCATAGAAAAGCTGTACCAGAAAAATGCCATTTCTAAAGTTAAAAAAGAGTAATGCATGACCCCTCGCACCCACTAAATGAGCACTTCAATTATAACAGATCTGGAATACGCCTGTGCACAACACGAACCCAACGTGCACGTTTCCGAAGATCCTTTATCCCCGACCCCATTCATCTGTTCAATTCTAAAACCTTGACTACTATAAACTCATCTCAAGGTATTAATATAAATGCCAAACATATGCCATGAATCGTGCATCAACCTATTAATTACCAATTAAGCCAGTAACTATTAAGACATCAATAATATCAGATTCCATTTTACAAAATATGAAGCTAAATCTTAAAATAATAATAAATACATCAATTATTAATTATGTCGGTAGTTATTATACTACTGAAAATGGTAATGGATAATAATAATAAAATGAATGATAATAATAATAATAATAATAATAATAATAATAATAATAATAATAATAATAATAATAATAATAATAATAATAATAATAATAATAATAATAAAATAATAATAATAATAGGCCTGATAAATAATAATAATAATAATAATTTATGTATTTATTATTATTTTAAGATTTAGCTTCATATTTTGTAAAGTGGAATTTAATATTACCACTCTATATCCTTGGCTTACTCATTTATTACCTCATTCGTTATGTATGTTTATCATATGTGTATGTTTATAACTGTCCTGTAATATTTTTATTTATATGTGTGTATTGTACTGACCGCAATTTAAGGGCAGATTGTGGCAAAAACCTCTGTAAATACTGCGGGTGTGAAGAGACAAATACATATCAAGTCTTTGATGCAGCTACTGCAAAAACGTTTTTCAGCTGCTGAGAGTCTAGATTTGGGAATGATAAGTTTACATGTGTCGGTTGCTGAACGGAGATTACGAGTTGGTGTATATGACCTCAGTTATGTTTTTTTTTGCAGAGGTCACAGTGTCAACGACGGAAGCGACGACGAAGCCCACAACGAGCCACACGACCACGATGTCGGAACGCTCAGACACAACGACTTCCCAAAGCACCACTACCTCTAGTATGTCTATATACAAAAAACAAAGAAAATGCAATAAATTATCAATACTTCATTGCATTTTCCCCTGGTCCCCAACAGATAAAATTCCTCTGTTTTTTTTTGTTGTTGTATTTGTGGGGGCGGCGACGTACCCTAGTCCCCGCTGCGTGCATTCATGATTCAGTGGCTAAGCAATAGCCTCGTTACCGTGAGCCCGCAGGATAAAAACCGTGTCGAAGTGCGATATTAGTGCAATTTTATGAGGCATTAATCCTCATTACTGTCAGTTATGACTTAACGACGTAGGTCCCCTAGTTGATTAGCACAATAGTATACACATGCTTTTGCAGTCACGCAAAACAAACACTCACAAAATATTATTCAATAAAATCTGAGAAAGTTGAGTTCTGGTCCAGGCGCGGATCCAGGATTTCTTAGGGGAGGGGGCCCAACTTTTTTTTTTTTTTGCTCCCGAAAATTTGAAAAACGCGCCGGCCAAAAATTCGCTCAGTGGGGGGGGGGGGGGGGGGGGGGGGGGGGGGGGGGGTAGTGAGCACATTTTTTTTTTTTTTGATCCTCAAAAAAATTTCAATTTGCACCCCCCCCTTGAGCGCCAGGGGGGGGGGCCCAACCCCCCAAAAAGGTAAAAATCATGTGATTTTACATGATTTTTTCTCAAGGGGGGGGGGCCCGGGCCCCCGGGGCCCCCCCCCTGGATCCGCCACTGTTCTGGTCTTGCGATTGCATTGTGAAAGAAACGGTGTGGAATCGATCAGAAAAAGTTGATCATGTAGCATTAAGTATTGGTATGTACTGCAAGGTTCTGGAGTCATCAAAATAATAAGAAATTTGGTCCAATCTTGGTAAAGTAACAAGCACTGTACACAGACAAATGTATATGGGACTACACAAACATGTGCCATACAAATCGGGCCTCATTTTTAAGTTGTTACTTGTCATATTTAGAATATGAGGTAATTTGAAGAGCCATGCTTTTCGGGGAACGTTTTTTCTCTGATGTTCTTCAACACTTGCAAAATAACAATGATAATGCTCACAAATTATTGTTCACCTCTCCCCAGAACTCAACCTTCTCTTTAACAAGTTTTTTTGTATTTCTTTCAGAGTCGGTGACAACGGAAGCGACGACCAAGCCCGCGACGAGCCCTACGACCACGATGTCGGAACGACCACACACAATGACATCGCAAGAAACCACCATCATGGGTAAGCAATGGAAACATTAAATGGCGTCATGAATTTGATTATTATCCTATCTTAACTAGCCAATACCCAGCCCCCCCCCCTCTCTCTCTCTCTCTCTCTCTCTCTCTCTCTGTGTATCTTTATCCGACTCTCTATTTCCTGTGCCCTTTCCTTTGACTGAAGTAACTAAAAGATTTTTTTAGGGGGGAAGTGATCGTCTAATTTCTTGCCCACGAGATTGACGAAAACAAACACGCCACAGCGGTATATAATTATAGATAAAATATTTAGCCAAAAAAAAATCCTTCAACTTTGACAAAAAACCACTAAATCTAAAAATGTGCTGTTTATGTTTGTTGAAAACTTTTCAGAGTCAACAGAATCATCGACTATGGACGAGACGACCAAGCCCACGTCGAGTCCTATGACCACGATGGCAGACACAATGACATCGCAAGAAACCACCATCATAGGTAAACCATAAAAACATTGAAATGGCGTCATGAATTTGATTATTATCATAATTGCTACAGCCAATACCTACCCTCTCCTCTCTCTCTCTCTCTCTCTCTCTCTCTCTCTCTCTCTCTCTCTCACTCTCTCTCTCTCTCTCTCACTCTCTCTCTCTCTCTCTCTCTCTTTCTTTGTCTTTATCTGAATCTCTATTTTCTGTGCTCTTTCCTTTCACGGAAGTCACTAAAATATTTGTAGGGGGAATTGACCGTCGAATTGTTTACCCACGAGTTTGACGAAAACAAACACGCCACAGCGGTATATAATTATATTTAAAATATTTAGCCAAAAGAATTCCTTCAACTTTGACAAAACACCACCAAATATAAAAATTTGCTGACTCAAATTATGCCTTATAAAAGATATAAACTGTTCAATTTTATATGTTTTCATGGAGCTAAATTTTCTTCGTTTTGGCCTTCTAATCCTGTTTAGGTGTCATACCGAATCTCTTAGCTTTGTACGTGTGGTTTCATTTGTAATAACCTTGAACCCTCAATTACATCATGAACATTCAAATCAGTTATGTTTGTTGAAAAATTTTCAGAGTCAACAGAATCATCGACTATGGATGCGACGACCAAGCCCACTTCGAGTCCTACGACCACGATGTCAGACACAATGACATCGCAAGAAACCACCATCATAGGTTAGCAATAAAAACATTGAAATAGCGTCATAAATTTGATTATTATCATAATTGCTATAGCCAATACCCACCCCCTCTCCCCCTCTCTCTCTCTCTTTCTTTGTCTTTATCTGAAACTCTATTTTCTGTGCTCTTTCCTTTCACGGAAGTCACTAAAAGATTTTTTAGGAGGGAATAGACCGTCTAATTGTTTACCCACGAGTTTAAAGAAAGCAAACACGCCACAGCGGTATATAATTATAGATAACATATTTAGCCAAAAAGATTCCTTCAACTTTGACAAAACACCACTAAATCTAAAAATTTGCTGACTCACATTATGCCTTATAACAGATATGAACCATTCAATTTGATATGTTTTCATGGAGCTAACTTTTCTTCTTTTTGGCCTTCTAATCCTGTTTAAGTGTCTTTCCGAACCCTGAACCCTCAATTACATCATGATCCTTTAAATCAGTTATGTTTGTTGAAAACTTTTCAGAGTCAACAGAATCATCGACTATGGACGCGACGACCAAGCCCACGACGAACCCTACGATCACGATGTCAGACACAACGACATATGAAGAAACCACCACCTCCAGTAAGTACGAGAAACAGTGAAATGACGTCATGCATTTGACCATTATTATGATGGGTCTAGCCACTACCCCTCCCCCCTCCCCCCCCTCTCTCTCTCTCTCTCTCTCTCTCTCCCTCTTTCTCCCTCTCTCTCTCCCCCCTGCCCCCTCCTCTCCCTCCCCCACCTCTCTCTCCTTCATATTAACAAAAATCTGCAAGAAATAACATTGTGAAATAACATTGTGAATTGACCTAAATGTTCGATGGTGAGCAAAATTTCTTTAGACATTGAGTGTTAAAACTGTAATAACTTTTATGTCTTTGCATCTATTTTCATTACAGTTTTTTTTAAATTTGTATTATTATTATTGTTATTATCGTTATTATTGTTATTATCATCATCATCATCATCATCATCATCATTCATATTATTGTCATTTTCATCATCATCATCATTATCTATTTTTTTCTTTGAATATTCCAGTAACAGCCCAAATATTCAATTCGTCTACTTCCTTACATATTGTTTTCATCTTTCAGCATATTCTCCGGAGGAATATGAGTACGGCGGGTCGTTCTACAATTTCAGCACTTGCAAGGTGAATCACACTTCTGCTGTTTCAGCTTGTTCCCAATACGGATCCCACCTGGTCTTCATCGAGTCGCAAGAGGAACAGGACTTCATCGAAGGGGTTGCCAGTCAGGACTACTGGATCGGGCTGAACGGCACAAGTCTCAGTGACGCAAGGTGGCTAGACGGATCAAGTCTTACATATAACAATTTTGACAATGAATCGTTCGCGGAGAATGTCAACTGTTTTCGAATTTGGTCTGATCGTCAATATAGTTGGAATGATAGGAAGTGCGATAAAACAAGTAAGTACATATGCGAGAATCAAGTGGAGTTGGATTAGTTTCCTTCAATTTCTTCAATTTGTCATACTACGTGGTTGCACCACTGATTGCATCTGGCAAGGTAAATACCCCCCCCCCCCAACAACAACAACAACAAAATTGTTGTTGTCGTTCCATGCACTAATTTTACCATGAACAGCACTTAGAAGACGGAGCACTTTTCACATATCAATCCGATTATGATTAGTGGCTGTTCGTTCTGTTGTGTTTATAGAATCTAATTTCTATTGCCAAGATACTTTATCGTATATATAATACTAGTTAGTGCTTCATGAAAATATGAAACGCAAAATATATTTGATAACAACATAAATTATTATGGAGTAAATTATTTATAGGGTATATAATATAAATGTACATACATGTAAACATGCACTTAATACATAATTATACATATACATATACATACACATATGCACACACATAAACATATACATATTTATCTATTGTCATGAGTAATGAGCTTATACTTCAGATACGACTAAAAATAGTGAAAAACGAAAAGCGGGCAGCAAATAAAAATATTCATGAAGTACCTCCATGATTATTCTAGAATACACACAAAGACATTCCTCCATGATTATAAGATCTGTGGATGATTAAGTTCATTATGCCATGTGCTATCTATGAACTGGTCTATTACCTAAATAAATAATATACAATGAAAGCCCTATACAATGCATGGCATTATATCATAAATGTAATTCAAGAAAAGTCAAAATAATGTAGATGCAATAAATCTATAACATACACAAGTCAATATTGTATCTTTTAAAGTTTAGATAAGACAAAAGTGGTTATAGTGTGAAATATGAGGTAATATAAGGTAAGTAAAACGCTCGGTTGGTTGATTATTTACTATACAGTGCGATCCCAGAATGAATGAAACTTGAAAACAAATAGATATTGTGACTATCTATGAGGTGTATAATAAGATTCCTTGCTTTCACAGAGTAGAAGTAATATGCTTTATTAATATGTTATCTACATTAATATATAAACACTCTTCACTGAACAACAATGTTTTGAAATGGCGTGTCAACGTCCCCTTGTGCCAGATTTAGGCCGAAGAGTGAGACCGTCAGTATAGTATCAAACACGAACATGACCGAACATGACCTGAAAGAAACACAATTTTAAAAGCAAATAAGAAGGTTATTTTACTGAGCTTTAAAAAAAAAAAAATTAAGGTAAGGGTTAATACCATCTTTATCATTAAATAATGCATTGTGGAGGTATTGTCGATGGTGAGGGTAAAAGGGCGTATTTTATTTCTTAAATGGGTCTACAATTATGCTGAACAGTGCTTTTGTATTTTTCAGAAGTGCCTGAAGTTTGGCGATATTAAAAACAAGATTCAAAGTAATGGGCGCCTTACATTTCGATAATGGGGAAAGGTAAGGTCCAATGGGCACGTCAGGAACAAAATAAACCATAAGAACAGCGCAATTTTCTCCTTAGGATGGGCACCATTTTCAATCAGTAATATCCATACTACCTATCAAATGTAATTGAATTTATAATTGATTCTATATTAAACATTATCTTAGTGCATGTCGGTGTTGATTTATAACAATTTCTATATATTATCATTATTATATACCTGTTTTGAAATTATTGTTTAAAGTAGCCACACGAAGAATAAAAAATGTTTTGAATTGATGCAAAACTCATATCAATGCGAAGGGGAAGCCTTGCCGATCAAATACAACAACTCTTCTCTTCAAAATATGTTTGGGGCCCGCAGTAATCAACTCTGAAAAATGTTAGTTTTGAGATCCAGATTTTCTGCCTTCAGCTGTCCTTTGTAGAGCGTCAATATTTGTGACGTCACATACGGGACACGGCTGTCTAGCTGCATACTGCTACACGGCACTGAGCTGTTCGTCCAGTGTGTGACGTCACTATTTAGAGCTCGCTACGCTTGTGTGTTTGACTTACGTTGAGGGGCGTCTTGAAAAATTGCATTTCACGCCTTTCCATGATATCTATATGATTTCTCAGCAAATTGTTCGTGTTTTTCAAGAGAAAATCTTTCCATCCATATGTAATTTGTTCTAATTATGAGTTGTTAGTGAATTTTCTTTGTGTAGCTCCTTTAACAGTAGTAGCTGATATTATAAAAAGGAAAGATCATAACATGTTGTACTTTTCATTTCATTTCATTTCATTTATTTCATTTTCCATAAAAAGAAAAATACAAAGGGAAGAAGCAAAAATTTTTTTATGGGATTGTGGGGTTAACAAAAAGGGCAATTGGCCTTATGAACGTCAACCCCTTAAAAAAATATACACTGTATTGTTGAGAAAAGTAAAGCAGAGAAAAACCTAAACACCAATACAAAGGGAGGGGGGGGAGGAGAAGGGAAGGGGAGGGGGAATACATTACAAAGTGCATTAACTGAAACGTGACGTCATTTATTTTGAGATTGAATACAATGATAAAAGATGGGATTTATACAATCGTTTACAAATATTCATTGAATAGGAGTTTTTCATATTAAACGGGATATTTTTCCATAAAACTGTTCCTTTGAAAAAAATTATATTTTTTTAAACATTTGTACGGATTTTAAATTTACATGACATGGACTTCGGCAGCAAACCCTTGGAACACATAAACATAAATATAGCAATATTAATATTATTTATATCATAAACATTTAAAAGCTTTAATTGTTGAAAAAGTGGCAAAGTGTGGGCATTGAACGGGGCTTCGTAAATTATTCGAACAGCATTCTTTTGTAATACAAATAATTTCGTCATAAATAATCAGAACCATTTGACCATGTAATATTACAATAATTAATGTGTGGAATTATCAAAGCATAATACAACATAATCAAAATATATCGTGGGAAGTGTCTTAATCGATAAATAATACCAACTCCCTTAGCAACTATGTTTGACACCAATGTGTTCATGCCATGTCAATCTATCGTCGATGTAAACACCGAGAAACTTAGTGAAAGAAACACGATTTATAGCTTGTCCATTAAACTGAATAATCAAATTATCATTTTCAACTTTTCTTTTTGTAAATAACATAAATTGAGTTTTATCAATATTTATAACTAATTTATTATTTAACAACCAATCCTTCAATTAATGTAATTCGACAGTAAATTTCTCTAATAACATGTTCAGATTACTTCCAGACATGAAAACACTGGTGTCATCTGCAAAAAGAATAAATTGTAAGAGTTTAGAAGAAGTAATGATATTGTTTATATAAACCAAGATAAGTAAAGGACCCAATGTGGAACCTTGGGGCACTCCGCATCGAACTTGCTTATTGAAGACTTATGATTATTGATAACTACAAACTGAGACCGGTCTAACAAATAACTCTTAAATAATAATAATACATTTTCACGAATTCCATAATCCTTCAATTTGCTCAACAAAATATAATGATCTAATGTATCGAAGGCTTTGCTCAAATCGAGAAAAAACCCAACCATGTATTTTTTAAAGTCGATAGCTTTACAAGCTTTGAGAATAAATTCAAGAAGCGCAATCGATGCGGAGTAACCCGAGCGGAAACCATATTGTTTATCAGACAAAATATTACATGAAAATAGAAAATCATTCAAAAACGTTTGTATAAGCATTTCTCAAAAATCTTTGAAAATAAAGATAAAACAGATATTGGGCGGTAATTATTGATATGACTAACATCATCTGATTTAAAAACTGGGATTACTTTTGCTATTTTTAATTGAGTAGGGAATACACCATATGAAATACAAGAATTGAATGTAGAGCATAATTGTGGTGCAATTATATGAATGACTTTATTAATGACGCCAACATCGATTTCATCATAACCAAGACTAGTTCCATTTTTTAAAGAAAAAACAATATCAATAATCTCTTTACAAGTTACAGGAGAAAAAAAATGCGGTGTTATCATGTCTTTTAAGTTTCTTATGATCAAATGATTTAGAATATTGAACATTATTTGTTCAATTGTAACCAATATTAACAAAATACTCATTGAATATTTCTGATACTTCATCTTTGTCTGTAATTCTTCTACCCTCAACATTTATTTTATCAATACATTGTTTAGGACATGATTTTGAACCAAGAGCTTCATTTTTAGTTTTCCATGTTGCTTTCATATTACCCTTATCGTTATAAATTGTGTTGTTGTAATATTGATACTTACATTTTTAAATTTCATTTGTAATTTTATTTCTAATTGTTTGTACACATTTTTCCTGTATTTAGTGGGTGACTTAAGGTACTTTTTGTATAAACGCCATTTTTTCCTTATGTTTTTTAATAAATCTCTATTCATACACGGTTTATTTATACATGATTTTGAACCAAGAGCTTCATTGATAGTATTCCATGTTGCTTTCATATTACCCTTATCGTTATAAATTTTGTTGTTGTAATATTGATACTTACATTTTTTAATTTCATTTGTAATTTTATTTCTAATTGTTTGTACACATTTTTCCTGTATACAGTGGGTGACTTAAGGCAGTTTTTGTATAAACGCCATTTTTTCCTTATGTTTTTTAATAAATCTCTATTCATACACGGTTTATTTATACATGATTTTGAACCAAGAGCTTCATTTATAGTTTTCCATGTTGCTTTCATATTACCCTTATCGTTATAAATTTTGTTGTTGTAATATTGATACTTACATTTTTTAATTTCATTTGTAATTTTATTTCTAATTGTTTGTACACATTTTTCCTGTATTCAGTGGGTGACTTAAGGTACTTTTTGTATAAACGCCATTTTTCCTTATGTTTTTTTTAATAAATCTCTATTCATACACGGTTTATTTATACATT